CGCATCTGTACGATCGAACAGACTGAGTGGATCAAGACTGGCCTTCTGAGTCTCTCTCGGATAGGTTCGGGCAGGCTTCGTCATTGTTGAAATCCCCCTGGAGGCTGGCCCGCAAAGACGGGGAGGAACACGCGCCCATAGTGGCCATATCTAGCCAGACGGTGGCCTAATCCCTGGCGGGCTGGGTATGCCATTCAATCAGAGTGATCAAAGCCCCGCACCCACCCTGGGGGGTTGCCATAAAAGCTCACCATCTTTCGGATTTACTTCACCGAGTACCTGCGGACTCTGAGCCTTTTCTGACATCTCCAAAATTCCCCACCATCGTATACAACCATGGGGGAGTGCGACTCGGCCGCTTAGGACACCATCTTTCTGGTAGAAAAGAGCACGGAGTGCGCACGGAACCACGGATCCACAGATTTTATGGACTTTGTCTCTGGAGCGAAAGTCCCAAAATCCACCCATTGGCTGTGAAAATGGCCACCTGGGCGAATTTTATGGACTTTTTCCGGCCCTTTTTTTACCGACACTTTACCCCAAATTTTTAGAACTTTGAACTTCCATGGATCTTGGACCCTCCGATGGGGGTTTGTCCAAGTTTCACGGCCCACAGAGTGCACTTTTTGCAGCCCGGCATGGTGGGTCATGCACCCTGGAGTTGCCACCTAGGCAAATTTTATGGACTTTGCCAAATTTTATTAAATTTTCATTTTTCTGAGCCATTTTTTTAACACCCCCTCTCAAGCCGATACATGTCACCGTTCCTGAGATATGACCACCTAACCTAGTTATTTCAATCATATAATTGAGATAAACTACCCACCACCACCAAACTTCACCCACATACTCTCCTCCTCCACCCGCTTCCAATGACCCATAAGCCGATACCCTAGCCTGCTCTGTTCCGGACATCCCCAATACCCGCCCTTCCATATCCCCACAATACCTATACACTTCCTAGGCCCCTTTTTCCCCTACCGACCTCCCTTAACTTCCAATTCCCCCGCTTCCGTGGAGCCCCATATTGGAGTGGACAAAAGGTTGGACAGAGGGATGACTTTCAATGGATTGCAGCTAATGAGCTAATGACATACACTAGGAGGTATGATGCTGGCTTCATGAGAAACCATGGGGTTCGAGGTCGTCCACCACCGGGGTGGAAACTAAAAGCATTAAGCCTTCAGCGGTGCACCGACAGGACAGGCCAGCCACCCTGGTTAACTCAATGGCTGTGACATAACACTAAGAGGTGTTAATGCTGGCTTTATGAGAAACCGAGGGGTTCCGGGTCATCCACCACCATGTGCGTTGTGCCTTCAAAAAGCACTTAATGTCCATGCCCATGGCCGAGGCATGGACGAGCCACCAGCCCAGGCAACCCAAAAAGCCTTTCCATACTCCCCCGGCGAGGGGGCACAATATGCGGGGCTTTATGCGAAAACCATGGGGGGTTAAAGCTCACTATGCACTTGGCCAGCTATGAGGTGAGTCACTGGGACATGGGTTTAAAAGAAGGCTGCAGCCTCTTTTACTCACCGGGACCAGAGTGCATCCCCCCCAGCATGCCCTGCCTGTGCTCGGGCAGGCTTTGTCATTGTTGAAACCCCCCTGGAGGCTGGCCCGCAAAGACGGGGAGGAACACACGCCCATAGTGGCTGTATCTAGCGCCGGACAGTGGTCTAACCCCTGGTGGGCTGGGTATGCCATTCGATTGTAGGGAGAGAGAGCACGGAGCTCTCCCTCATAGAGAACCAAGCCCCACAACTGCAGGGAGGGCATGTGAGGACATGGCCCATAAATTCACCATCTTTCAGGTTTAATTTCACAAAGTCTCCTGCTGACTTTGTGCAATGATTTGAATTTACCCACAAGCATTTCCATCCACCAACATAGGATGCTTGGGCTTTTTTCCCCAGCATTAGCCGTGTCCTAACACACTCCGGCAGGCAGTGTGAGAGGCAATTTTCCGGTCCATGTTGGGAAGAGAGAGAACATGGAGCTCTCCCTCATGGAGAACCAAGCCCCCACACACACAGGGGATGTGAGGACTCAGCTTGTAAAGCTCACCATCTTTCGAGTTTATTTCACAAAGTTCGCAAGTTCGATCCCTGGTGATGCTACAGCCATCCGTAGCCAGGAGTCAGAGAGAGCACAATTGGCCTTGCTCTCTCTGGGTGGGTGGGATGGCTGCCCTTCTCCCCCCATCACTCACTCAGCGCGATGCTAGTCAGCGCAGGCGTCTGTTAGCTGACGTAACAGATCTGGTGGTTGGCGCTTTCCTCTGAGTGCGTTCAGCTGTCCAGTGATGTTGCGTGAGCGGCAGCTCGAAAAGAAAGCGGTGGCTGGCTTCACAGGTCTCTGAGGAAGCCTGTGTTAGCTTTCACCCTCCTAGCGTTGATAGCATCATGTGATTGGGGGAGTCCTAACTAGCGGGGTGGAATTGGAGACGACTAAATTGGGGAGAAAATCGGGGTAAAAATTAAAAAAAAAGAAAAAAAAACTTGAACACTGAAAAGAGCTGGCCACTGGGAGACCTATGGACTAATCTTTGGCCTGTTTTTTTAAGCACGTATCTGGTCCGAAAAGGCCACCTGGGCGAATTTTATGGACTTCGTCTTCCGGCCCATTTCTTACGAACGCTTTGCCCCAAAACAGCCACCTGGGCGAATTGTTTAGGACTTTGAACTTCTGTGGGTCTCGGACCCTCCAAGGGGGTTTTTCCAAGTTCCACGGCCCACAGAGTGCAATTTTTTCAGCCCGGTGGGTCATGCACCCTGGAGGTGCCACCTAGGTGAATTTTATGGACTTTTTTTTTTTATGGAATTTTATAGACCATAAAAACTTTTTTCACACTGTTTTCATCCAGGGGGGCTTTCCTACTCCCTGTAGGCCATCAAAGTGCCCTATATTCTGCCTGTTATGGGGGGGGTCACGCACCCTGGAGGTGCCACCTAGGTGAATTTTATGGACTTTTTCTGAGCCCTTTTTTACCATAATTTCCCCCCAAAACAGCCACTTGGGTGAATTTTATGGAGTGTCATTTTTCGATGTTTTTCGGCCTCAGGGAGCCCCAGGGGTCCTGGGCCAGGCCTGGGGTGGTCCCTCGCGGGCCCCCGGAGCAAAATCTGCCTGCTGATTTTAAACCATTATTTCTCCGCGACGGAACCACCTATCCCCACAGGCCTGGTATCGTTGGAAAAGGCCGGGCCTGAGCTTTCGAACTACACTGAGCTTGACCTCCTTGAAACCGGAGTTATAAGCTCCGGAACCCGGGGAACTGCATGTCCCTGACTTCCAGGGCTAATAACTTCCAAACCCGACATCCCAGCCAGACCAAATTTTAAACATTTTCTACGCTCCCTGGCTTGGCCTGAATTCCTTTTGAACCGTGGTGATAGCTCTACCAGAACTGGAGATCCGGGGAACAGGCTCCCGACAAAGCACTAAATGCTTCTAAGCGAAGAAATGTCATACACCCACAAACCATATACTGTTGGAAAGGTCTCACTTGCCCGCTTCCAAATTCAAAGGTGCCTTCTGTCCAACTACTACTGGTTCCGAGATATGGACCAAAGTTCCCGGAGCCCACAACTGAACGTTTGCCCTAGTGCTACTCCCCGGCCCTTACTCTGATCTGGCCTAAACTTTACAACCTTGTAGAGGTCGTCCTTCCCTTTCCAACAGTACCAGCCATGACCCTCTACCCTCTGGGGAACCAGAGATGCGGGCCACCAAATTTCTGTCTGCCGGACGGGGCTGCCCCCCCTCTACTAATCCACCCATTACCGCTTTGACAGCTCACTCACTTTTTAAGTTCCAGAGCCACTTTTGGTCCCTTACTTTACACACCGCTAGATCCACTCCTGCGCTTTCCAACGAGCTTACCCACGTCTCACTACCCCATTCCCTTCCTGAGATTTCACCCCGGGAACCTTGCACTTTAGCTGGGAGGATTTTGAAACTTTACCAGGGCCATCCAGAACATACCACCGCCAAAATTCACCACATTATATCTGAGATGCACCCCTTCATCCAGTAAAAACCCCAGAGTTAATACATGTCACCACTCCCGAGATATGACCTCCTAACCCTGTTATTTCAACCGCCCGTTCTGGCCCACACTTAAGTGCTTCCCCCCGGATTAAACCCCTTCATATGGTCGCTACAGAAAACCAGGCCACTGGGAGACCATAAAAACTTTAACTCTGAAACTGATGCCTGCTGGAAGACCATAAATAATTAGACAGTTTTTTCCGGCCATGGTTTTTTATGGTTTTTGGCAACCGCTGGTAGACAATAAAAGCTTTTTTATAGTCTCTGTGACAGCCCCCCCGGGACACTCAGGGAGATGGAACTATGGTCCAACTCCACCAGCGTACACCCGAGATGTAGGGACAGACTTGCCCCGTACTTTCCTTGTAAACTGGGAGACCATGTTGGGCGAGGTGAACTCTTCACTTCAGGGGTCTTTCCTCAAAGAGGAATTGGAAGCATCCAGGGCCGAGGGATGTGGCTCCCCTGGTGCTTGTGCTGACAAGGACAGTGGTCATTCAGAGATCATTTAAATGATCTATTTGAATACAAAGAGGTTTTTACAGCTTTCTAATGACAACCAGCTCTCGTATGTAGCTTATAACATATGAAGAGTCCATTTGCAAAATATGATACATGCCATCCTTAAAAAAACACAAGCTGACTAAATATGTTTTGTTAAAAAAGCCATTATTGTTAATTGTCAAGGCGTTGCAAGTCCACGTTTTACAGCAGAAATGATCAAATGCCAGTGCTGTTCTTGAGCAGAACCCGATAAATCCCACTGCTGCAAGGGATGATGCAATGTTACATTTCAGATGAGTTACTGATGTAAGGGACAAACCAGCCACTCATATGTTAGTGGGCGGGTCATGCTCCAGTATAAAAAATGACACCAAAAGGACAAACTTCTCTGAACACAAGAGTTGCATCAGTTTGATTTAGCAGATTTCAACCTATTTCAGATGGATACCACATACAATGAGCACAACATCACAATCCAATACTTCTTTCATGAAAACAACTCATCTTGCAGAAAGGAGGTCCAAGCAGGCTCTGCTATTATTTTTTTGTGTGTTTTTCTTTCATGTATATCAGTGTTCAATGTATTCCTGAATATGCTTGTGATCATCTCCATCTCTCACTTCAAGCAGCTACACACTCCAACCAACCTGCTCATCCTCTCTCTGGCTGTGGCGGATCTTCTCGTGGGATTGATTGCTATGCCTGTGAATATAATGAAATTCATGGACTTTTGTTGGTATCTTGGAAAAATGACATGCATTTTTTCAGAAATAATCACTGGCCTTTCAACATCAGGATCTCTCTTTAGTCTGGTTTTCATTGCTGTTGATCGGTACATGGCTGTCTGTGATCCTCTGCTTTATTCTAGTAGAATCACAGTTTGTAAAATGTCAGTATTTATAACTCTTGGCTGGTCTTTATCTCTGCTGTATGTCGTAATCTATTATTACTCTAATGACCATATTCTTCCATCTCAGACATCCACTAAATGTTATGGAGAGTGTGCAGTGTTGATAAAATATTATTGGTTGATTATTGACCTGGTATTTTCTTTTCTAGTTCCATGCTCTGTCATACTGGTCCTGTATTCAATCATTTTTAAGGTGGCAAGACGTCAAGCTAAAGCTGTTAGAGCTGTGACAAATGCAATCTCACGTAAAGTTTCAAGCTCCTCTGAAACCAAAGCAGCAAAAATACTGGGAATTGTCATTTTTATGTATCTTGCTTGCTGGATACCTTTTTATTTAAGTTCTTTGTCACTTGAAAGTGTCACATCTGTGTCAATGGTGTGGACTGTCTTTGGATGGCTGATTTGCATTAACTCCTCTGTGAATCCATTAATTTATGCCATATTCTACCCCTGGTTTAGAGAATCAGCTAAGTATATTCTTTCATGTAGAATATTTGAATACTCTTCTTCAAAGTTTAATTTGTTTCCCCAACGTTTTTAACTTCAGGCTAGATTCAGCAGACAAAGCTGAAAACACTTTACAGTCATTGTCCACATTTAGCCCAGATTTATAAACAAAGGACTTTTTTGACTCTATTACTCAGCACTGTTGAATGTATTTTTACATTTTAAAAGGATTAATGATAATAGGAAGGAGGCTGAGATTTTTAGCTGTACAGCCAACAGATGAAGATCAACAATCCATTGCTTTTGATTACTAAGACCTTTACAAGATTTCTGATATTTGAGCTAATATTTTCCTTTAGTCCCTATGATTTTTTTTGTTCCTCCCAGGTTTCTTAAAATATTGTTTGAATCTGTTGGTCCTTTTCTGTAAGCAATAGTGAATCTTTCTCCTATCTCCGGGTGTGTTCCTAATTGTCTAGTGTGTAGTAGCTAGTGTGCAGCCCCTTCTTAAGAAAGCAGGCCTTGACCCTCAAAGATTTCAACCCATCCCTAAACTTCCCTTTATAGCAGAATATCTTTAGAAAGTGGTTTCAGATTAACTTTTGCATGCACTGGGAAGACAACAGCATTTTTAAATAGTTTCAATCTGGATTTTACCAAAAGCATAGTACAGAAACAGCTCTTGTGAGAATTTTAAATGATATTTTAATGCATCTGGCTCCATGGAGGTCTTTTTTTGGTGCTGCATCATCTTAGTGCAGTCTTTGATACAGTGGATCATGATATCATCAAAAACAGGCTTAGTGAATGGGCTGGCATATCAGGGACTGTGCTAGATTGTGTTTTGTGTTTTTTTTTTAATCTAATAGGAAATTTTCAGTGTCTGTTGGAAATATAACATCTTCTGTGGCTGTTTCTGTGGAGTTTAGAGAAACAGTTACTGACATGGTTACTGGATCTGATGTACTCATGTCTAATTTCATTTTGTGTTGCTTATGTGGTTTGTCTATATTTTGTTTTGTTTATTAAGTTAGGTGAGCAGTTCCACAGGAAATCAACTCATTATTGGTTATGTGATCCAAATATCAGAAGTACCACATTTATTGTGACATTTAAAAGCAGAAAGCATCACATCAGAGGTCCATAAGCTCCACATGCAGTGTACCTATAAAAAGCATATACATCATTTCCCTTGACTCATCTTATGAATAAAATACCTTCCATGATTATTGTCCCCTTTGACTCAAAGCGAGCGTGGTGTTTCTCCCGTACTCACTCAGTTATCCCTGTAATAATAGTAATAATAGTGTAAGATTATTGTAAGATGTAAATTGAACCTAAAAGATATGGATTCAAATATTCTACATGATAGAATATACTTGGCTGATTTGTAGGCATTTCTTTTTGTTTTCAATAACTGTAACAATCTACTCCAGATCAAAGATTAGAAATCAAACTGAACCCTAACCCTGTCTGTTTTCAGTGGGGACCAGGTAAGTTCAAATATGTCCAATTCCTTCAGATCCTCTGAATTATGAATTTAACAAATAAAGACACTATGTCTACAATCTCTAGAAATTGGTCACTCCAAAGGTTCAATGCAGAATATGTAATGAAGCAAAAAAGAACCTTAAAGTAACAGCTGGTAATTCAGGCATTAAGAATTGGGTATGCTGTATTGTGTGCAAAACTGGACAAAAGACTTAAGATTCCCATCTTCAAATAGATTATTAATCCTACCGATACCTGCTTGTGGTCAGTTTGTAAAACTTGAAACAGTTTGAAGGGAGGTTAGGGTTACCAACTAATGAAGACAAAACATAAAAAGAATCAGAATCAAGCTTTATTGGTCAAGTATGCTTACACATACAAGGAATTTGGTTTTGTTTGCAAGAACTCACAGTGCACAGTATCAGACAAGCATTTTACAGTAGTAAATACAATAAAAAAAAACAAAAAAAAAGTAATAAAATAACATAAAATACATATTTTTTCGAAGTTGAGTTTGAATATTGTTTATGTGTAATATTTTAACTGTTCAACAGAGCGAAGGCTAGTGGGTAAGAAGCTTGTCTGTAGCCTGAAAGTCCTGCCTGAGGGACAGAGCTGGAACAGGTGGTGGCCGGGGTGTGACAAGTCAGTGGAGATTCTCTCTGCTCGCTTCCTGGATCTGGAAGCATGCAGGTCCATCAATGTGGGCAGCTTAACTCCAATTGCCTTCAATGCAGACCTGATGATGCGCTGCAGTCTGTGGGGGTCATGCTTGGTGGCTGAGCTACCCCACACTGTGATGGATGTGGTGATGCCAGACTCTATGATGGCTGTGTAGAACTGCACCATCAGCTCCTGGGGCAAGTGGGACTTCCTCAGCTTAGGAGGTGGTATGCCATTCCTTTTGTCATTTTATTCCATATTTCTACTACTGCCAAATTCTTTTTAGCTTGGCAGGGGATGTTGTATATATTTCTACCTAAAAATCTGTCTCCATCTCCACCCAACTGCAATCTGATGGTATATGAATCCAGTGATGAATAATTCTAACCTGTATTGACCACATGTTTGGGAGAGCATATCTGCCCAGATCCCTGGGAAGCTGTAATGTTTTGCATTTAATCCTAGGCTTTCTACCAGACCATATCAATTATGACATTGCTTTATTTAGATCTTTTTCATCATTTTTTGGTAATAGGTGTGAATAACATGGAGAGCAGATCGAGGAATCAAGGTAGCAGTATAATTTTTATGAGGCTAATTTGGCATAGGAAGGATACATGCAGGGCTTTACATTGCATCATGTTTTTCTAAGGTCATGTTAAGAGAGGTTTTAGCTTTACAGAATACAGTTGTGCTAATTTCAGGGTAATATAAGGTAGTGCTATTGGAATTCCAGCAGAATAGTTTGGGCATAATCTCAGACTAATTAAAATGAACCCCTGTAATCAATTATTTATCAATTATGTCATTGGCATAAAGTAAGATCTTTTGTTATCTACCTCCCAGTAGAAGCTCTTTAATACTTACAATTCCTGTGAAAAAAATATCCAGAAGCTCTATTGCAAAAGCAAAAAGCAAAGGGCGACAAGGGTCCCCTATCTCTTGTTCCCCTATGCAAACTAAAGGATGAAGAGATAATAACATTTCCTTTCTTATGGATGACAGTAATGTTAGCTGTGTTCATACATATTGGAATAGTGTTGAGATAAATGTTACAAATCTGATCTTTCATTATATTAAAATAAATCTATGGGGTATCCGTTATGTCCGGGTATTAGTTCTGACTGTAAAGAATAAATGACACTGTTAATTTCAATTTTAAGTAAAAATCTATGCAATTCTCTTCGTTCATCAATAATTGGTGAAATAGTCAGATTAATACATTTGTATCAGCAATTCTTTATTAACTTCAGAACTACACAGCTTTACAAAAAAATACAAAAAAAAATCTATAATTTTATTATTCATTACCCATTAGCCATTTTTATGGCTATGTAACTGGGGGCTGTGCATGTACTGTCAGGTAAAAGGAAAATTGCTGCCAAGAATATTTTTGTGATTCATTATGGTGATTTGGCTAAACACATTAGAAATATTTGTCCTGTTAATTTGGGGCATACATACAGCCAATCAGAAATTCTTTAACATGTAGCTTTAACTAGTGCAACTCTGCTTTCCTTATCCACATATTTTAGAGCTTCTTACAAGTGGAAGCTTTTTGTTGATCAGTATGATAGCACCTCATTTTTAGGAAGACAACGTTGAATAAATGACTTAAATTTACCCAGTTGACCCTGTGCATTGGGTAGGGGCCTAAAGCTGAGACTACATTCAGTTTTTTAAAAAATTTGCAAAACATCAGGCCTCTGTCTTTCTTTGGTCCAAGAATCACTGGACTCCGCCACCTCTTTGATGGTTCGATAATCCCCAGCTTTAGCATTTCCTTGACCTCCCTCCTAAGCCATGCTGGTATCCCACAGTAAGTCTGCCTGATCAGCTCTTTACTCAGCATTTGTATGTAATAGGCGATCATCCCGGGTTTTTCACTGAACACACCATTTGGAATCTGCTCCGTCAGCTCATGTTGTTGTTTTGGTGGCAGATGTTGAAAATCCAGTGTGGCACTATTTTAATTCACCACTGGGAAGTATTGCTCAGGGGGTTCCTCTTCCTCCTCTACTATCCTTGCCCATAGTTGTTCTGTAGGTGTGCCTGTCCTCACCAGCCAACAAGTTTCTGTGAAACACGTTTCTTCTATTTTCTGTCAGGTTTGCTGATTTCATAAGTCAATCGACCCATCTTCCTTGTGGCTTCATACAGTTTCTGACTTCATCCAGTTTGTGGCGTTTTCATAAAGTCCTTTAGCAGGCTGCTCAACTGTGACTCAGGCGTACTTCACTTGCCATTCATGTGGTTGGAATTGACTGCTCTGTCTGCTGGGGTTCCTTCTAGTTCCTTCATTTTGCTGAGCTTGGCAGTACGACGAGTTCTTTCTGGTCTTGATACCTTGTTGTATCAGTCTTTTGCTGTTGATGTGCCTTGTCCATGTTCCCTTTGACCAAAGTTGTGAGCATTTCCATCATATCCCTCATTTCAACTGCCCTTCTGTGTTGTTGCCTGCCCACACTTCTTTCAGGACATTTGAATGGCCCATTGACTTGCCTTCTGTAGAGAGCTTCAAATGGGGAGAATCCTGTTGAGGCTTGGGGAACTTCTCTATATGCAAGGAGTAGGTACATATGTAGGGACATATTTTTAAAGCATGGCCTTCAAAGTCTTGTTAAACCGCTCCACCATTCCATCAGTTTGGGGGTTATATGGGTACTCCGTATAAAAACTATGTAAGTCTGTTGTAGGATACTCCTGTTCATCCCAATGAATGCATCTTACTCTGACTTTTCCTATTCTCTGGTGATTTAACCTGCTAACACCCCACTGGGTGACTAATGGTTGGCTTAAGCCAGTGTCTATAAGGGCTTTGAAAGTTTTGATTTAAAATTTTTACTTGTACCAAGATGTCTGTGTTAGGGTTGTGTTTTGTGTTCCTACTTCTGGTCTCGGACCATGACAAAGGCATGTGTCATTAGCTCCCTGTCGTGGACACTCTCTCACCGTGTGCCCCAATTAAAACATTTCAAAGGTGGTTTTGTGTTGTTTTGCTATGAGTGTAGGAATAGCCTCATGTTTTCTGGTGTGTGTGAGCTTTTTATGTTGCGTTATTGACTGGCTTGTAACTGTGGATCTGTGGCTCAGACAACTCCCACCATGACTTCCCCCTAACTTACTGGATGCGCTGCTAGCTGGATTTTGCTGTTCTAGGTGCCATTCATGGGTGGTCCGTCTGGTGGTGATGAAGGCTTTTGCGAGTTCTGCTGTGTGGTACGATGATGATGGTGGCTTCCTTTCTTGGATCCAAGTCCTCAGTTCTTGATTGATCCACTCAGCAGTGGTAGTAAGTGCAGGACCCAATTTTCTCTTGGCAATCTGTACACTTGTCCAATTCTCTCAAATGTTGTGACATAATGCTCTGTCATTCTCTTGTAGCAGGAGTGACATTTGCCTATGTACAGTTTGTTGGGGAGAGTTCATATTAGCATGAGTTGACTGTGGCATCTGGCTGTCTCCATTTCCACTCACCAAACAGAGAATTTTGTTTCCTTGTGCTGCTCTTTGTGTTGAGCTTGCTGCCCCTCCCAGCAGTTGTCACTCTTTTCTAGCTTGATGCACCACATTTTGCAATCATTAAAATTGGTGTCTACCCTCTCTGGTTTGTGGCATTGTCATAAAGTCCTTTAGCAGGCTGCTCAACTGTGACTCCGTACTTCACTCGCCATTGATGTAGTTGGAATTGACGGCTCTGTCTGCTGGGTTTCCTTCTGTTAAACCTCCATAGTGTTAATTACTAGCTTCTTTCGCTGCATTTTTGTTTATCCCTTTTTCATTGCTCTGGGTCCTGTCTGGACTGGACACTATATGCAATGGAGTGAATGTTTGGTCATGATGGTCAAGGGGATAGGAAAAGGTAGCCAGGATGCAAAAAAGTAAAATCCAACATTTATTCACAAGCACCCCAAAGTAAATATTTACAAGTGCAAATGCTGTGTAAAAATTAACAGCCAGAAAGCTATTCACTGTACATTCGCTAGTTCTTTTACTGATGTTGCTTCCATAGGCAATTTAGAACTTAGTGAGTGATTCAACAGAGGATAGGCACTGTGTGCTTCAGCACTCACTGGCCTCACTCTATGAGTTTGCATGGTTTACCGCTTCGTCGTTAAGTTGTTGTTACTCCTAGACACTTCTATTTCACAATAATAGTACTTCCAGTTGTCAGGGGCAGATCTAGCAGGACAGAAATTTCACAAACTGACATGTGGCAGAGGTGGCATCCTATGACAGTGCCATATTTAAAGTCACTTAGCTCATCAGTGTGACCCATTCTACTGCCACTGTTTGTCTATCGAGAGTGCAAGGCTATGTGCTTAATTTTATCCACCTGTAAGCAATTGATGTGGCTGAAACACATGAGTTCAATAATTAGAGGGTGCGTCCCAATACTTTTGTCTATATAGTGTATATATAGATATAGAATATCTCAGTGTAAGTTTACTTAACATCAAACATGAACATATACAGCATATCTAATTTATATTTTCATGAGGCTCTTAGCTCATGGGGGCTTCAGGCAGTTGCCTACTTTGCCTAACTCAAAGAGGAGTGTGCTAACCCTGCTTAGCACACTCCACTGTCAACAATTCTGACTTAGTAGGTTCTTTAAAATGGTACATTTAAAACTGTTCTTCAAGCATCAGTCACCCTTTTGGTCAAGAGGTTGGCAATGCAAAAATACTAGCAACAATGGTAAATTTTTAATTTGACTGGTTCTTTGTGTAACACATCAACATCGTTTAATTAAAGTAGCTGTTCTGGCCCTGCTAGTGTAATAGAGCCCTAGTGTATAGTACAGTATGTGCAGTACAGGAAATTCAATTTAATACAGGATGCAGAAAGTAAATTAGGTGTTAGCCTACATATTGTCCATAGAACTGGCTGTGTGAATAGGTAATCCTTCACCATCGGTGTACAACAGCTATTACAGGAGGCAATATCTGTGATCGCGTTGTGGTAACTGTGTTACAGACAACTTTTTGTTGCCATGTTATTTAGATTTGGTTTATGTATATCTTGATAGATATTTGTTTGCAATATCACAAACTGTATTGCATAGCATATGTAGTTGCAGCCTTGCTTATTAACAGGCAGCTTTGCGCATACTGTTTTAGTGTTAAATTTTGTGCAGTTGTATGAAGCACGTTGTAATTTTTCTACCCAGAGATGTATTTCAAGAAACAGGAAATGAAGTCCCAAGCAAGACAGCACATTGTTTTCACTGGATTTATTTGGATGAATTGTTTAGCTGAGTGGATAACAGAATACAGCTACATTTAGGCCAAGACAATAGCAGTAATGAAGCATTTGAATGCACGAATGTAAATTCATTATGTCGACAAAAGTATTGAGACACCCCTCCTAATTATTGACTTCAAGTGTTTCAACCACACTTATTGCTAACAGGTGTATAAAATTAAGCACATAGCCTTGCAGTTTCGATAGACAAACACTAGCAGTAGAATGGGTCGTACTGAAGAGCTCAGTGACTTTAAACATAATAAAGTGGAAAACAACTGAATTCAGAAAACTCTAAGCACATTTTATTTACACAGTTAATTTAAAGCCTTTTGATGATCCACTGAATTTATTCACTGCTGCCACATTATTGATATTTTGTTGACATGTTATGAGTCTATTGAGTGTTTTTTTAATCTGTAATGGGCCACTTGACACTCAACACTGCAACAACTAGTAACTAGCAGATAAACAGCTATCAATGTTCTTGGTAAATAAAAGTGTAAATGTACATCACATTTTATTTCTGGGTTTTTCTATTTTTCTGTCTTACTTAAAGTAACTACAGTGAACTCCTTGACATCACAACAGTTTGATGAAATTCCTTTGACATACAGCCACTTCATTTCTGGCTTTGTCCCCTTTTCAGCAAAGGATTCCCAATAGAAATGATAAAGAAGTTTTGAATATTAACTGTTCTAATGGACCAACTAGCCAATCATATATCAGTGGGAAGACGTATGCTTAGGTATAAAGAGACATGACAAAAGGCAGATCTCCCAGTTCAGCATTACTGAACTCCACAGGTGGGTCAGTCCCAGTTGGCAGATCAGCATTCAGATGAATAACACAGAGTATCAGCAAAACATCACAGTTCAATACTGCTTTCCTGACAATAATGCATCTTGCAGAAAGGAGGTGCGAACAGGCCCTGCTTATATGTTATTGTTCATTTTTCTCTCATGTGTATCTGTGTGCACTGTGTTTCTGAACCTGCTGGTGATCATCTCCATCTCTCACTTCAAACAGCTCCACACTCCAACCAACTTACTCATCCTCTCTTTGGCTGTGGCGGATCTTCTCGTGGGTCTTTTTGTTATGCCTGTAAATATAATAAAATTGATCGACACTTGTTGGTATCTCGGAAAAGTAGCATGCTCTGTTTTTCCAGTGATCAATTCTCTTTCACTGTCAGGATCTCTCTGTAGTCTAATTTTAATTGCAGTTGACCGGTACATTGCTGTCAGTGACCCTCTACTTTATTCTAGTAGAATCACTGTTTGTAAAATGGCTGTGTACATAATTCTAGGGTGGTCTTTTTGTCTAATGTATGTTTTTGTTTTCACATACTTTAATGACCACCTCACTCCATCTCAGATGTCCACTAAATGCTATGGTCAGTGTGTACTGATCATAAAACATTCCTGGGCGATTGCTGGCATTGTAATTTCTTTTTTAGCCCCTTGCTCTGTTATACTGGTCTTGTATTCACTGATATTTAATGTGGCAAGGCGTCAAGCTAAAGCTGTTAGAGCTGTGAAGAACGGTGCCTCACGCCAACATGGAGTTAAAGTTTCGAGTTCTTCTGAAACCAAAGCAGCAAAAACACTGAGCATTGTAATTGTTGTTTATCTTGCTTGCTGGATACCATTTAATATATGTTCTTTATTTGGTCAAAATATTACATCATTGTCTATCATGTGGATTCTGCTTGTTTGGCTGATTCTCATTAACTCTTGCATGAACCCACTAATATATGCCATTTTCTATCAGTGGTTCAGAGCATCAGTTAAGTATATTGTAACCTGTAGAATATTTGAAAACTCATCTTCAAGGTTATATTTGTTTTCTGATCATGTGTGATGTCTGAGATCATTTTGTAGTTATTGCCCACATTCAGGACAGTGTTATGTCCTGTGTCTATATTTATCTCAGATATACTGTACATGTTGATGTTTGATATTAAGTAAATATATATATATATATATATATATATATATATATATATATATAGAGCGAGAGAGAGAGAGAGAGAGTCCTGTAATGGTAATGATAATGGTATGTAGAGCAATTTACCGCTTTCTGTTCTGGGCAGTCAGCATTTATTTGTTGAAAAAAAATGTTTCTTAATATTGAAAAAAATCTGAAAATGCAGATACTAAATCATAATGAATGCCATTTAGAGGCAAACATCACTACAGAGTGTTATACCTGAATAATCATCAGCACACAGAGCCATGCAGTCAATTAAATTGTTGATTCGTAAAACATGTCTCTGTCAGTTGATAAGCTAGAGTGTAAACACACAGCGAGATGAACTCCATTAATAAGTCAGCAAGTACATTTTTTCCCCTTCCACTTTTTATTTTTACAAAAAGATATAAGATAAGATGTGTAAATCTATTTCTGCCAGAAAGAATCAGGAGGCAAGAGCAAAGGGGGACAATTTTTCATATCCTGAATGTGATTTTTCAAGTTGAAAGATTTAGTAGAAATTGAAGTCTTTGGTGTAGGCCCCGTCCTCGGTCCAGACCTTTGCTGATCCTGCCAGATAGAGACAGTAGGGGTAGAGCCTCCCCCCAAAAAAGTATAGAGAAATAAACTGATATCCACCAGAAAAGCCTTTAACTGGAATGAGTAGTCTGAAAATAAACATAAGGAATATTATTAACAGGATAGATTCAAAACATTAGCACAGTGGATATTGTGGAGTGGTTGGTTGAAGGGTAGGCAACGGATTGACTGAATTTGTGAACTAGGACCCAGTGTATAAATTGATATTCTACAGACTGACTGGTACTTATATAATCTCCAGGCCCTCACAGACCTATTGTTTTTTGTTGCTGTATGCAAAGTTTGTGGGGTGCTTATGGAGTTCCTGCCCATTGAGCACGCTGTCAGTGCAAAGACTGACTGGTGTTCACATTAGACTGAGCCTCAGGCTCATCGCATTCACTCTATAGAAAAGGGGGCACGGGCCCAAGCATTCACTCATTGACTAGGGGCCATGGGCTCAAGCATTCATTCACTGACTCGGGGCCATGGGCCCATTGCTTTCACTTCATTAGCTTGGGGACATATGCACTATGTTAGCTGGGTGATGGGCCCACACCTACAGAAATTTCTGGATTTTGCCAATTTCTATAGACAGTTCATTAGGAACTTCAGTGTCACAGCTGCAACCCTCACCGCTCTTCTTAAAGGAGCATCTAAGAAACTTGTGTGGAACACAGCTGCTGAAACAGCTTTTCAGAATTTTAAACAAGCTTTCACTTTCACCCTGTCCTCAAACACCCTGATCCCACTAAGCCATTTGTGGTAGAAGTGTATGCATCTGAGACTGGAGTTGGTGCTGACTTGTTACAGTGTAGTGGTGATCCTGAAAAGTTATATCCTGTTGTATTTTATTCACACAAACTCACCCCTGTGGAACAGAACTAAGAACTAACAAGATCTTATATCTAAGATCTTGGAAAATGTTGTAGCAAAACAATTAAGTATTTGTATCCTATTTTATATAGGAATCATATACATGAAAAATTTCAGTCTGGTTTTAGGCCACACCAGAGACAGCACTAGTAAAAATCATCTGTCCTCGCAAAAGTAATGTATGGTGTTCCACAAGGCTCTGTTTTAGGACCTGTATTATTCACAATATATATATGCTACCACTGGGCACCATTATCAGTAAACACGGCATAAATTTCCACTGCTATGCCGATGACACTCAGTTATATATATCAAGTGAACCGGATGATAAAATTAAACTTAGCAAGATTGAGGACTGTATAAAAGACATAAAAGACCTGCTTTGCTGCTTTCAGCTGCTGACGTTTCGTCGTTCCCCTCCTTCCTCACTGCCGCCACCAGTTGGTCCCCACTCGGTTGCACAGGTGGTAGGCTCCGCCCCCTGCCATCACTGTATGGCAGGATCTGCGAGGCTGTACACATTTGAAGACCTGGGCTGATGACGGGGCCCGTGCCAGGGACTTTAACTTACAAAAATTGTTATCTATGGAATTATTAAATATTATTAGATTAAACTATTTTCTTTCCTTCACGTTTGTCTCTTGAGTCTTTCTGGTAGAATTAATTTTCCCCATCAGATAAAAGGTGCAGATTTGGGGGTTCTTGGTCATAGAGTATTATGGTAAACTGGGAGCGCTGGTGCTGTCGTCTCGCTGCTCTCACGCATTCACTCAAGTTTGCTGATGGTGGAACAGAGGGGTGCCGACATCTCAGGGAGCCCTCATGTCTCTGTTACCTTCCTGGTTTCTCCCTTTTAGTAAAGGGCTGTAATAACTAGACCTGCCAGAGTCTCTGCTTCTCTGTTAATACAATAATCTGTAATCAGTCACTCATTACAAAACTAACTCTCTGTGTGTTTTCCTTTGTTTGCCGAGTTGAACAGCTGCCCATCCTGTGCGTCTGATGCAAGCCTTCTGAACCGGCTTGACCACCATTGAGCTACATGCGGTACAACGCTGTGCAAACCTCCCCCTCATGAACTGACCCTCCCAATGATGCTGCTGTTTAAGTCTGTAGTGTGTGTGTGTGTGTGTGTGTGTGTGTGTGTGTGTACATACTCATGACCTTAGTGAGTCCACGTATTTATGCCTTTTACTATCAGAGTTTCAGAGCTTTAGTTAAGTATGTTTTTACTTAATGAATATGTGAATCCTCTACTGCAAGGTTTATCTTGTGTCCTGAACATGTTTAATTTCAGACTGACTCCAAAGCTGAGACCACTTCACAGTCATTGAGCACATTTAAGACAGTGTCATGAACACACAGATAGAACCCGAACTCCTAACTGTTTGTGTAGTTTATATTTTATGACACAGAACTGTAGAATTTTTTTCAGATTTAATAAGACTACTAATGATGGGGAAAAGCAGAGAATATCTTTAAAGAGGGAGAGGAAGCCTATTTTTTTTAATTTTAATAATGTCTTTGGCCATTTCATCACATTGGAGTCGGCACAATCTGCTGCCACGGCCTAGGAATTCTTGCATGGAAAGCTTCTGATTTTTGTTCATTGTTCTCTCATGTGTATCTGTGTGCACTGTGTTTCTGAACCTGCTGGTGATCATCTCCATCTCTCACTTCAAGCAGCTCCACACTCCAACCAACCTGCTCATCCTGAATATCATGTTATTTATAGACTCTTGTTGGTACCTTGGAAAATTGGCATGTTCTGTTTTTTCAGTGGTCAGTAATCTCACAATGGCAGCATCTGTCTGTAGTCTAATTTTCATTGCAGTTGACCGGTACATTGCTATCAGTGACCCTCTACTTTATTCCAGTAGAATCACAGTTTGTAAAATATCTGTGTGTATAATTCTAAGCTGGTCTTTTTGTCTAATGTATATGATAATTTTGATGCACTTTAATGAACAACTCACTCCATCTCAGATGTCTATTAGATGTTATGGAGAGTGTGTGATCTATGTTAAACACTCCTGAGTGATTGCAAACCTTGTCTTTTCTTTTCTAGGTCCTTGCTCTGTCATATTGGTCTTGTATTCACAAATTTTTATTATGGCAAGACGTCAAGCTAAAGCTGTTCGAGCTGTGACAAATGCTGCTTCAAACAAAAATCAAGACAAGGTTTCAAGCTCTTCTGAAAGCAAAGCAGCAAAAACATTGAGCATTGTAATATTTGTTTATCTTGCTTGCTGGATACCATTTTCTTTGAGTTCTCTGTCAGTTGAAAGTTTGACATCTTCATCGATGGTGTGGACTGTGTTTATCTGGCTAATATATGAACTCTTCTCTGAATCCACTAATATATGCAATTTTCTATCAGTGGTTCAGAGCATCAGTTACGTATATTGTAACCTGTAGAATATTTCAGTCCTCATCCTCAAGTCTTATATTGTTACGTAGACATGTTTAATTCCAGACTGAATCCACAGCTGAGATCACTTCACAGTCATGTGAAGAGATCCAGTTGTTGTTTACCCAGCTGACTCGTTAATAATATCTTTCTCCTTTCAGCTCACTATGTTTCTTTATCACATGAAAACCCATAACTATATAAGACACCCAATCTGATATATTGGTAGATTTTTTTTTTTCGTGTGTGGCATTAAGTGACCAGTTTTTTATGTGCTTTTTATAGGTTTTTGTTCCTCTGTATGTTTTACTGGGAAAAGTCAGAAAAAAATATGTAATGCTTTTTATTTGAGCAGAAAGCATAGTTAGCATACAGCCGTATGGCTTATCTGATCATGGTAAAAATAATAATAAAAAGAATGCAGTCTAGTCTTTGTTTTGTGAAAACCAATTAACCAATAAATCAATAATCAATACAAGTATTTAAACATGAAAAAAATGCTAAATAATCATTATCAGCTTCCCTAAATGCATTAATTGTTTGTACTATCCCTATAAAACTTTGATAGATACACATATATGTGTGTTAAAGATAACATTAATTTAGACAATGTCCTACTTACAGAATGTTTAAACAAAAACTAATGATTGATGACTTAATCCAGTTCTGAAACTTTACAACTGGAAAGATGTCCAGATTTTGCATATACCACAATAACTATTTTCTTTTGGCAAGTTTGGCAAAGGTGCCCAAACTTTTGCCTACAACAGTCCGGAGATCAAGCATGTTCTTCAGTCATCAGTTATTTTCATTTCAGGCAAAAGAAAATAAAGAAAAATCTGAAGCAGAAAAATAACATGTCAATTGGAGGTATATATCAATGCACAGAGCTTTATGGCTAAATGATTATCAGCATCATTCCTTTCTTTGACTGCCTGGCACAGACACAAGGCCATGAACTCAATGAAACTGTTGAGTCTTGTGTAGGTTCAAAAGTTTTTGCTATACAGGGTGATATTTTAGCTTGTTTTAAAACTTGGAATTTCTGGCAATATAGTGAGATACTTCAGTATAGAGAGTTCTGCAGAGTGATGCAGAAGTAAAATAATGAGTAATGAAATTAATTTAATTTATGAAATTAATACATTTTTCAAGGAAGTTACAAGCAACATAATCTCATTACTGTTTTTTAACAGTATTAATTTGTAATCCTCTCAACACCTAGATAATCAGATTATTAATGAAGAATGTATGTATATATATATATATATATATATATATATATATATATACAGTAGAAATGTACTGCTCTGTAATGTGTTTAGTGTTGTGTTATATGTCATTATATCCAATATTGTGTGTGCCTGTACTGTGACTGTATTTCTGTATTTAGAACGTTCTTCTGCCTATTCTTGTTTATCCCTACATAGTCATGTCTGTCACACCTGTCAGTTGTCATGTATAGGCTGGGCCTAATCTTGACATCAGTGCAGCTATAAAGCTGCATCAGCCCATAGTCTTATGGGCTGGCTAGATGTCTGGTACCTGGGTGCAAACGAAAAAACTTCACTTCTCCAGACGTCAGGCTGGTTAAGTTGGGATTTGGATTCTTTATATATATATATATATATATATATATATATATATATATATATATATATATATACATATATATACACACACACACACTGTATGTGTTGGTCTTTGATGTTAAGTATATATATATATAGGTAGAGAGAGAGAGAGAGAGAGAGAGAGGGTAAGGAATTCAGCTCACAGTCACAAAAATATAACAGCCAACTGAAACAAACAAAGTAACAAAAAAAACAAAAATACAGATTTCAGTGGACTGGTCTTAAATTCTTTTTCGGTCTGCCGCAGCCTTATATATTTGCAGCATATATACAGTACAAATAATATGGTAGTGGCTGTGGTAAAGATAAACACAACATTAAAACCGCACCACTTTTTTTTTTTTTTTGTACAAAATCACCAATACACCACATTTACTTCAATCCTCCCTTTTCTCTGAAATATCAGTACTCACTTTGTTTGTGTGCAAAACACCAAAACACGTAGTTTAGACCACCCAGACCGCTTTACCTTCTCTAACTCATGGTAACTATATGAACAGAAATGGGAATAGTCACCACCGTTATTGATAATAGTACAATATTTTGCATTCCTATTACAACGAACTGCCAATAAGCTGAACATAAAACTATTAAGGAGCTGTCATATAGCTTTTAACAGCTAACAGGGATTACATAGGCAAATTGACCTGCTCACCTGCTGAGAAAGTCTCCACTCACATTAAATTTCTATCTCGTGCTTTAAACCTAGAAATATTAGACATCCTATCGTTAAACATCTAAAATAGCCAATAACTTGAACTAGTGAAGCATATTTTAGTGTTTACAGGAGTAGGCAGCACACCTCAGCTCTAACCAGCTTCTTCTGGTTTCTTTGAATGCGCTCGCTCTGTCTGTGCTCTGTGAAACAGCGCCCCGTGAGGTCTTAAAGGCACAGGGACCTTTAATTTCTCTTGCTTCTAGATTAATGTAGCTGAAACTGATAGGTTCTAATAATCACCTGGCTTGTATTTTCATATTTTCATGGGGCCTTCAGCTCATGGGGGCCCTAGGCAGTGGGTTACTTTTGCCTAGTGCGAAGACTGACTCTGCTCAACACACTCCACTTTTACGGCCTAGGAATCCTTGAATGTCTCTTTTCACTACCGGTGTCAAAACTGACTTGGTAATTTCTCTAAAATATTACATTTAAAATAAAACTGTTCTTCAAGCATCAACCACCCTTGTGGTCAAGAAGTCGGCATTCCAAAAATACTAGCAACAACTAGCATCTAACAACTAAACAGCTATCTATGTTCTTGGTAAATATAAGTGTACATCACTTTTTTTTTCTTGTTGCTGAAATTCCTTTGACATACAGCCATTTTAGTCTGCACTGTAGTTTTTGGCTTTGTCTTTTTTTCAGCAGATGATTCTCAATGGAAATAGTAAAGTACTTTTGAATTGTTGAATGACTGTTGTAATGGACCAACTAGCCAATCATATATCAGTGGGCAGACTTATGCTTAGGTATAAAGAGACATGACAAAAGGCAAATTTCCCAGTTGAGCATTACTGAACTCCACAGGTGGATCAGTCCCAGTTGGCAGATCTGCATTCAGATGAAAAACACAGAGTATCAGCAAAACATCACAGTTCAGTACTGCTTTCCTGACAATAATGCATCTTGCAGAAAGGAGGTGCGAACAGGCCCTGCTTATATGTTATTGTTCATTTTTCTCTCATGTGTATCTGTGTGCACTGTGTTTCTGAACCTGCTGGTGATCATCTCCATCTCTCACTTCAAGCAGCTCCACACTCCAACCAACCTGCTCATCCTCTCTCTGGCTGTGGCGGATCTTCTCGTGGGGTTGTTTGTTATGCCTGTGAATATAATGCAAATTATAGACTCTTGTTGGTACTTTGGAAGAATGGCATGTTCTGTTTTTTCAGTGGTCAGTAATCTCTTAATATCGGCATCTCTCTGTAATCTAGTTTTTATTGCAGTGGATCGGTACATTGCTATCAGTGATCCTCTACTTTATTCTAGTAGAATTACAGTTGATAAAATATCTGTGTGCATAATTCTAGGCTGGTCTTATTGTCTAATATATATTATTATTTTGATGCACTGTAATGACCACCTCTCTCCCTCTCAGATGTCCATTAGATGTTATGGAGAGTGTGTGATCCATGTTAAACATTCTTGGCTGATTGCTGACCTCGTATTTTCTTTTCTAGTTCCTTGCTCTGTTATACTGGTCTTGTATTCACTGATTTTTAAAGTGGCAAGACGTCAAGCTAAAGCTGTTCGAGCTGTGACAAATGATGCCTCACACAAACATGGAGAGAGAATTTCAAGCTCTTCTGAAACCAAAGCAGCAAAAACATTGAGCATTGTCATATTTGTTTATCTTGCTTGCTGGATACCTTTTTATACAAGTTCTCTGTCAGTTGAAAGCTTGACATCTTCATCAAGGGTGTGGACTGTGTTTATCTGGCTAATATACATGAACTCTTCTGTGAATCCACTAATTTATGCTATTTTCTATCAGTGGTTCAGAGCATCAGTTATGTATATTGTAACCTGTAAAATATTTGTATCTTCAAGGCTTTTATTGTTCCCTGAACATGTTTAATTCCAGACTGAATCGAAAGCTGTGATCACTTCACAGTCATTGACCACATTTAGAAATGGGAGTAATATGAAGAACAATTAGAAAAGGGAACAATGGTTATGGAAGTAGAGAATAGCTTATAAGAGGCAGGGGAGGCAGAGATGAGGGGCTATAAGGCCTGTGCAGAAAGAGATGCTCCCCAGCTGCTGTGTACTTACTTGACTTGTAATGTTTTTGTAATTTTAGCTCACTATGTTTCTTCACCACATGAGAGCCAGAATTATCAAAGATATTTGTACTTTTTTTGTGTGGCATTTTTCACAAGCTATTTATAGATTTTTATCTCCTTTATATATATATATATATATATATATATATATATATTATGTTTTACTGACCAAAGATATGAGGTAATGCTGTATAATGCTTTGGGCAGAAAGCATTTATTTGTCTGAAAAGAAAAAAAAAACATTCATTAAATTGCTAAATAATCATAATAATCATTGGGAGCTGCCCTAAACACATTGGTTGTTTGCACTATACCTATAAAAATTGTAAAATTGTAAATGAATTTTGGTAAAACAAGTGACAACATAGAGCCTTGTGAGGGCTAAATATGAAATAAAGCATGTGATATACTGAACAGAGGGCGGCACGGTGGTGCAGTGGGTAGCGCTGTCGCCTCACAGCAAAAAGGGCCTGGGTTTGATTCCCGGCCGGGTGACCAGGGTCGTTTCTGAGTGGAGTTTGCCTGTTCTCTGTGTGGGTTTCCTCCAGGTACTCCGGTTTCCTCCCCCAGTCCAAAAATGTCTGTTTGTCTGCCCTGCGATGGACTGGCGACCTGTCCAGGGTGTATCCTGCCTTCCGCCTGATGACAGCTGGGATAGGCTCCAGCACCCCACCGCGACCCGGAAGGATAAGCGGTTTAGATGATGGATATACTGAACACACATGCAATGTTGTTTTAATTAATGTTAATAATCTGTTTAAGTCAACTGTGCCATGCTATTTTCATTTTTTCCTAAGTGTGTAAACACATATGAACAGTAAGTTGAACTCCATTCAAGAGTCAGTAAGTGCATCCTTGACCATTTTAAATGACCTTTCAAAGACAAAGAAACAAGCTGAATTGCACAACAGGTGGTGAATATAGCCACAACATTTTAGACATTCAAAATAATTGTTATAAATGACATATAACATGCACACATGGCACTGACCAACACATACATTTTCCAAACTGACAAAAAGAAAAATTCTTTGACTGCAATGAGTAGTTTCATGGCTCATGGCCTTGGCAAACTCTACTGATACAGTGTGAGGTCCACTGCTTGTGACCTAGTCGAACTCTAATACAGCAGTGAAAAAGGTCCCAGCTAATGGGAAAGACAAACTCTGCTACAGTGGTGAACAAGGTCCTGCCTTGTGACCTTTCAAACTCTGCTCCAGCAGTGAACAGGATCCCAGTTTGTGACCTAGTGAAAATCTGCTTCAGCAGTGAACAAGGTCCTGCTCTTGACTTGTCAAACTCTGCTACAGTGGTGAACAAGGACCTGGCTTTTGGCCCAGTCAAACTCTGCTAAATTGGTGAAAAGGATCCCAGCTTGTGACACAACAGTGAACAAGATCCAGAATTGTGACCTAGTCAAATTTGGTTACAGCGGTGAAAAAGGGCCCAATTAGCTGGCTAGTCAAATTCTGCTACAGTGGTTAATAAACATAATCTCATTACTGTTTTTTAAAAAGTAATTAGTAATTTGTAATCCTCTCAACACCTAGATAATCAGATTATTAATGATGAATATATATATATATATATATATATATATATATATATATATATATATATATATATGTATTTATATATATATATATATATATATATATATATATATATATATATATATTATATAAATGTACTGCTCTGTAATGTGTTTAGTGTTGTGTTATATGTCATTATATCCACTGGTGTGTGCCTGTACTGTGACTGTATTTAGAACATTCTTCTGCCTATTCTTTTTATTATTGATAATAGTACAATATTTTGCATTCCTATTACAACGAACTGCCAATAAGCTGAACATAAAACTATTAAGGAGCTGTCATATAGCTTTTAACAGCTAACAGGGATTACATAGGCAAATTGACCTGCTCACCTGCTGAGAAAGTCTCCACGCACATTAAATTTGTATCTTGTGCTTTAAACCTAGAAATATTAGACATCCTATCGTTAAACATCTAAAATAGCCAATAACTTGAACTAGTGAAGCATATTTTAGTGTTTACAGGAGTAGGCAGCACACCTCAGCTCTAACCAGCTTCTTCTGGTTTCTTTGAATGCGCTCGCTCTGTCTGTGCTCTGTGAAACAGCGCCCCGTGAGGTCTTAAAGGCACAGGGACCTTTAATTTCTCTTGCTTCTAGATTAATGTAGCTGAAACTGATAGGATCTAATAATCACCTGGCTTGTATTTTCATATTTTCATGGGGCCTTCAGCTCATGGGGGCCCTAGGCAGTGGGTTACTTTTGCCTAGTGCGAAGACTGACTCTGCTCAACACACTCCACTTTTACGGCCTAGGAATCCTTGAATGTCTCTTTTCACTACCGGTGTCAAAACTGACTTGGTAATTTCTCTAAAATATTACATTTAAAATAAAACTGTTCTTCAAGCATCAACCACCCTTGTGGTCAAGAAGTCGGCATTCCAAAAATACTAGCAACAACTAGCATCTAACAACTAAACAGCTATCTATGTTCTTGGTAAATATAAGTGTACATCACTTTTTTTTCTTGTTGCTGAAATTCCTTTGACATACAGCCATTTTAGTCTGCACTGTAGTTTTTGGCTTTGTCTTTTTTTCAGCAGATGATTCTCAATGGAAATAGTAAAGTACTTTTGAATTGTTGAATGACTGTTGTAATGGACCAACTAGCCAATCATATATCAGTGGGCAGACTTATGCTTAGGTATAAAGAGACATGACAAAAGGCAAATTTCCCAGTTGAGCATTACTGAACTCCACAGGTGGATCAGTCCCAGTTGGCAGATCTGCATTCAGATGAAAAACACAGAGTATCAGCAAAACATCACAGTTCAGTACTGCTTTCCTGACAATAATGCATCTTGCAGAAAGGAGGTGCGAACAGGCCCTGCTTATATGTTATTGTTCATTTTTCTCTCATGTGTATCTGTGTGCACTGTGTTTCTGAACCTGCTGGTGATCATCTCCATCTCTCACTTCAAGCAGCTCCACACTCCAACCAACCTGCTCATCCTCTCTCTGGCTGTGGCGGATCTTCTCGTGGGGTTGTTTGTTATGCCTGTGAATATAATGCAAATTATAGACTCTTGTTGGTACTTTGGAAGAATGGCATGTTCTGTTTTTTCAGTGGTCAGTAATCTCTTAATATCGGCATCTCTCTGTAATCTAGTTTTTATTGCAGTGGATCGGTACATTGCTATCAGTGATCCTCTACTTTATTCTAGTAGAATTACAGTTGATAAAATATCTGTGTGCATAATTCTAGGCTGGTCTTATTGTCTAATATATATTATTATTTTGATGCACTGTAATGACCACCTCTCTCCCTCTCAGATGTCCATTAGATGTTATGGAGAGTGTGTGATCCATGTTAAACATTCTTGGCTGATTGCTGACCTCGTATTTTCTTTTCTAGTTCCTTGCTCTGTTATACTGGTCTTGTATTCACTGATTTTTAAAGTGGCAAGACGTCAAGCTAAAGCTGTTCGAGCTGTGACAAATGATGCCTCACACAAACATGGAGAGAGAATTTCAAGCTCTTCTGAAACCAAAGCAGCAAAAACATTGAGCATTGTCATATTTGTTTATCTTGCTTGCTGGATACCTTTTTATACAAGTTCTCTGTCAGTTGAAAGCTTGACATCTTCATCAATGGTGTGGACTGTGTTTATCTGGCTAATATACATGAACTCTTCTGTGAATCCACTAATTTATGCTATTTTCTATCAGTGGTTCAGAGCATCAGTTAAGCATATTGTAACCTGTAAAATATTTGTATCTTCAAGGCTTTTATTGTTCCCTGAACATGTTTAATTCCAGACTGAATCGAAAGCTGTGATCACTTCACAGTCATTGACCACATTTAGAAATGGGAGTAATATGAAGAACAATTAGAAAAGGGAACAATGGTTATGGAAGTAGAGAATAGCTTATAACAGGCAGGGGAGGCAGAGATGAGGGGCTATAAGGCCTGTGCAGAAAGAGATGCTCCCCAGCTGCTGTGTACTTACTTGACTTGTAATGTTTTTGTAATTTTAGATCACTATGTTTCTTCTCCACATGAGAGCCAGGATTATCAAAGATATTTGTACTTTTTTTGTGTGGTATTTTTCACAAGCTATTTATAGATTTTTATCTCCTTTAAAAAGTATATATGTATATATATATATATATGTTATGTTTTACTGAGCAAAGATATGAGGTAATGCTGTATAATGCTTTGGGCAGAAAGCATTTATTTGTCTGAAAAGAAAAAAAAAAAAACATTCATTAAATTGCTAAATAATCATAATAATCATTGGGAGCTGCCCTAAACACATTGGTTGTTTGCACTATACCTATAAAAATTGTAAAATTGTAAATGAATTTTGGTAAAACAAGTGACAACATAGAGCCTTGTGAGGGCTAAATATGAAATAAAGCATGTGATATACTGAACACACATGCAATGTTGTTTTAATTAATGTTAATAATCTGTTTAAGTCAACTGTGCCATGCTATCTTCATTTTTTCCTAAGTGTGTAAACACATATAAACAGTAAGTTGAACTCCATTCAAGAGTCAGTAAGTGCATCCTTGACCGTTTTAAATGACCTTTCAAAGACAAAGAAACAAGCTGAATTGCACAACAGGTGGTGAATATAGCCACAACATTTTAGACATTCAAAATAATTGTTATAAATGACATATAACATGCACACATGGCACTGACCAACACATACATTTTCCAAACTGACAAAAAGAAAAATTCTTTGACTGCAATGAGTAGTTTC